TTTTTAATTTACTGTTTGTATTTTATATTGGTGTAATTCAGTACAGTTTCCCATTCTCAGTTGTTGAACAATCATGTTTAGTAGCATGTTAAAAGGAAAATTTTGATATTTACATTTTACATATCTTTGTTCTTTTCTTTAAAGATTAAATTAAGCATGTGTTTAATATTCAGGTTTTTTACATTTATCAAAATGTTCTATCTGAATTTATTGAGGACTTTAATGAAATAGTATTTTCTAGCAAGTTTGGAAATGTAATTTTTTATTTTAAAGCTGGCTTTTCTTCTCCTTAGCTCACTGGCTAGCAGTTTTGCCATGGGTCACAAATGCTATTTTACTTCTTTCCTTTTAAGTTCTTTGAAGACTTCAGCATATGCCTAATTTTATGACTTTTGTCAAGTTACACACACCAATAATCTGTGTTATGATCAGGGTCTTAAAACAGTTTTTATTGAAAAGAGGAAAACACATGCAAAATTATTCATTTTTAGTCTAACAAAGGTGGTATTGTGCTGGTAGAATAGAAAAGACTCCCAACCTATCCTATGAGTCTTTAGGATGGTGCAGAACGGTATGGCTTTGTCCATGTACTGAGTCAGTGGTTGTATGTGAGGTCCTTTAAAGTCTCTTCCTATTTCACAATGTTTCTGCAAAATGCAGTCATTTGCCAAGGACTTGACTGGACTGAACCCCTTGCTGCATAAAAGAATTCCTGTGTGATCTCAGGGCTCTGATTTTTGGACTGTGACTCATTCATCTGTTCAGTGGAGGGACTGACTGTCTACAGCAGTGTGGCAGGTGGGAACAGCAATTACTTTGTCTTCACTGATTTTTGCACAGCTGTATATGTAGTAATGTTTTAGGTGAATCATTCAGTCTTTTATTTAGATCTCCTGAATTTATCTAGGTCTTTGTTTCTTATTAGTTGGTTTTTGCTTTGGGTTCAGCTTCTCTGTAATTTCGACTCCCATCTATAACGTAAAAATATTAATTTACTTCTTATGGGACTGTTCGAAGATAATTATTAACAGGTGTGGGGCATTCAGATAATGTGAGGACAGCAATGTAATAATCTAGAGAGATTTCCTAGTTTGAAGTGAGGCTTTTGGGATCTCTTTATATGCTGCGAGAAGTCCTGAGGTGGACTCAACTTCGTGATATTAAAAAAAAAAAAGAATTAAAAAAATCCCAAACGATACTGTTTCTCCCAGACAATATCTAAAATTTATCCATGTCTATAAATCTCAGCCCTGGACTACTATGCAGTTTAACAGATTAATTAAGAAAAAAGGAATAGATTAATGTATTGAAACTCTAATGGCCACATTTGTCTTAATCTAAGGATATTCACTTTTTCCTGTCTGGAAATGTTGTGCATTCTTGCAGCTGGCTTTCAAGGTCTCATGTCTTTGGCTGCTGAAAACCTGTGTGTTGCTGTTCTTCTGGAGTACTCATGGAAAGGTAACTGGCTTTAAATTTACTACCTTTTTCAGGAGAACGGAGCCCTTACCAGCTTGGATTTTTCTCTTTTCCTTTATGTGTTTATTAACGTTTGCCTGTTAGAGGTATATTAATCATAGAGGCATTAATAGTTATTGTCAAAATCTAGGACACTGAATATTTTCATCCCTGCTATAAAAATTGCCATTTGACTCTTCAAATATTCATCCAAATAATTGTAGGCATTTCTTGATGACACTCAGTTGCAATAATTTCCTCTAAACAGTTTTCTTGCAGTTTCAGTTGTAATATAGTGCACCTTGACTAGTAAAGATTTTTATTGTTAAGCTTAACCATAAGACAGTCAGGGACTGTAATTGCTTCTTGAAGGCCATTATGATAGTACCCAGTTTAGGAAAAGGCATCAAGTAGTTCAAGCAGTTTACTGATCATATTAATCTTCCCTTCCAAAGAGCTAGGTTTGCCTATTAATCTTGATGTGTGTGAGTAGATTAAAACAAAAAAGGCTCAAACCTAGTTTACTCCCAAAGCTGGGGAGAAAGTTTTTTATAAAATATAAAATTAGCATTTTATAGAAACATAATGAAATCTTCCAGGTTATCTCTTTTGTCTTATTTTATTATAAGATGTTTTCATTTACATTTCAATTACTTCCAAATTATTCTTCCAGAAATACTCAGATGCCTACCTGTAAAATATTAGCTGTACATTCTCGTTAACAAAACATTGATACACTGAACTTATTCAAGTAAAAAATGGCTTCTTCCTTAAAACAGGTTGATTAAGCTTCTGAATCTGTGTGACCAAATAACTGTTTTCATATCCATTAGAATACAGGTTTTGCTTCAGATGTAAACCCACAGAATTACATATAGAAATGGATGATTTAAAGTGACATTAGTCAACTTGATTTTTGTAACTGTCTAAAAATGTTAAAGTTAACTGGCTAAAAATGTTAAAAGTTCTTAACAAAGTGCCCTCTAACTAAGTCAAGACTTCTTAAAAAAAATCTTTGAAGCAATATACTCAATAATTTTTAAGTCTTCTGATACAGAAACTAGTAATTACTCATTCAAATAGTAAGAACTTTTGTGTATCATTACTTGCACAAGGTGGATACTGTATGATTACTGATAAAAATATTTACACATGTTTTTGTAAGGGTTTTCATATTTTCTATTTCATGCAAGTTGGTGGTGCATCTTTAAATGAACAAGGCCATGTATTGTATTTTAATGATATAACCTCATTTTAACCACTGTGCTTCATTCTCAAGGGTTTTTTTTAATAACTGAGCATAATTGTTGTTTTCCACTGATCTGAAGTTGAATGAGAATAATTATTAGTGCCTTGGTTGGTTTGCTTGTTGTACTGCATTAACTGCACAGTTTTTTGAGGTGATAATTCACTACAGAGCTCTGTCCTGTGCAATTATTTCAGTGATTTTTGTGCATTTGAACTTGTGATCAAATCTGAATCTAAAAAGTTAATTAAATAAAAAAACCCAAGATGCTTTTTGATATTTTTTTTTCCTCTGCCAGAAAACATTAATTGCTGGTAGCTTTTAATTTGAGCAAGAAAACTAAAGACTCTGAAATAGAATGCACCTGTTTTGGGTAATTTATTAGGTTAAATACAGATAACAGTTTAAAAAACATGTGTGTAGAACATTATAGTTGATGACCTGTATTCTTTCACCAAAATGATGTAAGTTATCTTACCAAGTTGAAGGTACCCACCAAGAATTTTACAGGTTGCTTACAGACCTTCAAATCACTGAATCATATTTCCTGTTTTGAAAATCTTCTAACAAACTGCTCCACCATTTTGAAGCCAAATCCCTTAGAAACATTCATCTAATTTCTTTTGAGGATGTGTGTAATAGAAATATATCCAATAGATTTTTTTTTTTTAAGTGGATTAACATTTTTTTTTCTCCTGGCTAAATCTCCATTGGACACATGTATCAAGTGTGCAGTTGCCATATAACATATGCATCTCAAAAAATACCACTGCATGTTTTCCTACAGTCTTACCAAAATATATATCAGTCCTGATTTTCTAATGATTATAGACTATCTTTGATCTATCTCTTAAGAATGCTGAATATTGCTGGCTGTAATATTTTCTGTGGGATACTTATACTAGAAATTATTCTAATTCAGTTTGTGGGTATCCTGTAAGTTCTCAGATGTAAGGTAGATGAGAATGATGATAAATGATAAAAGAATAGATTAAAGATTTTTTGAAGTAACATTCTCAGAGGTAACACCATTTCTGAGCAGTCAGAGCTATAATGTTTAGGTTACTTAACTCAGTTGCCATCTAAAAGAAGTGAAATTGGATTTCTGAAATATAAGAGAAGAGACAAATGGCAATAAGTAAGCTGAAATTTCTAAAGGGAAGATCTTGTGATAAAAGGAATATCCAGAAATCAGATAGTAGAAATGATATGTGATGATGCATCTGGAAGGCATTCCCAAGAAGAAATTCTCTTGTATAGTGTTCCCAAAAAAGAAAAAACTGTCACCAGATTATTAGATTGATTTTCACAGTGATGACATTCTTGAGTTCTTGCTGAAGTATATAGGCAGAATTATTTAAGCAAGCCAGTGCTTTTCTGTATCTGTACTTTAAGCATAAGGCCTTATTTGGAGACTTAAGATATTCCCAATTTAATTGGAGAATTCTGTGTGTATAAAATGCTTGACTATGAAAAGAATGAAATAATCTTGTAGGAATATATTTTTTCTTAATCTACTTTCTCTAATTTGCACTGATTAATCAATATTTTTCAGAATGCCTCTTGCAGGTGTGGGCTTATACAGGACAGTTAGTTTCTCTACATTGTGTCCCATCTGGCTATTGTAGAAGTTCAGAGCCCATAGGAACTCTAAGCATGGGTTTAAGAAATAAAAGCAAATTGAATAAGAAATATAAAAGCTGGTGGAAATTTTTGAGTTTTATCTTTTCTCTGTGCTTACCCTCCTCTTCTCTATTTTATTACTTTTTCTTTAATTTGTTTACCTTTGAGTCCTGATGTCATCTTTTATATGCGGAAACATTCACATTCCCTCTTAAATCAAAGTGCTTCTGTTCTGTAGAGCTGGGTTAACATGCCTGTGAAAGCAGAGTATAAATTCCTTAGCACTGAAGCCTTTGAAAACTAAAATACTGTGACAAAGTCCGGTGTCGCCGGAGCCTATTAGCTGGGCTGTTAGCTTGTGGTGAAAGCAACGTGCCCCGAAATGTCAGGCAGCGGGGCTGTTACTGAGAGGTAATTGGGAGCAATTAGCCGGTCTCCCTGCTGGGCAGATCGCTATTACCTTTCTCCTCGTTGCCGTTCCCCCTGCTGCCACTGCAGGACAACGAGTTGTGGCAGAGATGACTCCCTGTGAGTGAGTCTGTGTGCGTGCGCGTGTGTGTGTGTGTGTGTATGCGTGTGTGTGTGTTCGTGGAGGCGGTGGAGGCGTGGGGCAGCGCTGCGCCCCGGCCCCCTCCCCGCCCCGCCGCATTGTGGAGGGAGGGACCGCGGCCGCAGCGCCTCCGCCGCCGTGCGGTGCGGGCGCTGTCCGAGGTGCTGAGCCGTGCGGAGCTGGGAGCTGTCCGAGGTGCTGAGCCGCGCCGCGCCCAGGCGGCACCATGGTGTTCGCTCCAGGTAAGGACTGCAGCTTCCCGTGCCCAGCCGGGGGAGCCCAGGGGGAAGGCCCCGACCTTGCCGGAGAGCTACTCGGGGGGGCTGCGGGGGAGGGGGTAACAGCTGAACCAGAGCTGCCACCGAGCAAAGACAGGCAGCTTCAACGAAGGTGGCTTAGTTTAGGATGTGTTTAGCTGTAGAGCCGGAGGTTATGAGAGTCACCCCTGTGGTTCCCATCAGGGACAGGAGACTCCTATACAAGTGTGTAGGGGACTGTGCTTGTCAGATAGCACAAAATGATTAGGAAGGAGGACATGGCCTTGCAGTGGCTGCAAAGTGAGTTGTGTCCCCCCCTCCTCCCCCAGCCTCCACACTGGTGGCTGCCAATGAGATCACCTCTATAACTCATGGAGATATTTTACAAATTTCCCCCTCCCCTCCCCCAAGGTACTTGAATGGAAGAAAACAGAAAGTTTGTTCAGTCCAGTTTTTACTGGAACAGAATTGAAGAGTTCATCAGGAGCTCATGTCTAATGTGAGACTTCACTCTAGAAGGGTGCAGAATCTCTGCTGTTTAGTATATATGTGCTACAACATAGAAGAAGGGAAGCTACAGAGAATCTGCTTTGGACTTGTACCATTCTGCTTGGAAAACGGCAGTTTGTTTTTGAGAAAGGGATGAGAGGCCCAGTACCTCCAGGATATAAATTTAAGTGAGGCATCATTGTTTCTAGTGTACGTATTTCTGTAGTGAATTGACTTGAAATTAACTTCTTTAAAGTTGTATAATTTTCAGGAAAAATGGTGAGTCAATAGAAAAGGGAAAGTAAAGCCTGCAACTTCATGATGAGTAACTATTAATACCTTTGTTTTGCAATGCTTAGAGAAGTTTTGTGTTTCTTTGAAACTCTATATCCAGTCTATGAAGGGATAAAATCCAAAAGCTTTATGCCTTTATTTAAAATATGGCCGTGTGGTTAACTTTGCTAACTCAGCAACTCAACAAAGTCCAATTCTTTAAGAAATTAATATCCTTTTTCAACAATCAGAAGTTCCTTTTGTCTCTTTAACTGCCCAGTTGCTGTCTAATTTGATACTTTCCCATGCATTGTGTTCTGAAATTGGGACCAAGTTATTTATCTTAATACACCTAGCCACTGTTTTTTATAGTACACCATTCATATTAGGGCTTTTTTTTCTGAACTACTTTTGTCTGATAGACTGTCACCATTAACTGTACTCATTTTTGAAATGCACCATGGGACTGGAATATTGCAGGAAGAGATTACCTCTAAAATAATGAAAACATGTTCATTTTCTCCAAGGACCAACAATGAACAAACCCCAAATCTCATTAATAACTGCATGAATTATTCTTTTCACAACTCTAATCCATAAAGAAAAAAAAATCTGTCTGAATCTGTCTTTTATAGTCATTCTCCTTCAGTCTGCTTATACGCAAAGAAAAGCCCATAGTTTCCTTACAAATTTTGCCATAATATACATAGGGTAACTAAGTAGGAGTCTGTAAAAGAGATAAAACAGAGAGGCTTGATAATCTCTTGTATTCAGACAGAGCAAGCCTGAATGGATTGCATTTTTTATTGCTTTTATTCACTGTAAATCAGCTCTGCCCTGGTATTATCCCTTCTCTAGATACTTAAAAAAATAATAAAATTCAGAGTTTTGCACATATTTAGCATCTTCACATTACTTAAGGCCATATGATATAGAAATACTTTAAGTTTACTACGAAACTGAGTTTAATTTCTTGAGTTAACCTTCTGATTTCATCTCACTGTGATGAATAACCTTATTTTCTGTTTAACTTATTTATTGGGGGGTGGGGGTAGGAGGGGCGAGGAAGAAAAAAGATTTGTCTAGCTATAAGTGGTTATTGATGAAAATGATACACATTCTTTCAGGACAGGTGGAAAAAAGAAAACAAAACAACAACAAACAGAAGGAAACTCTCTTCCAGAAAAAGTAATGGAATTTGTTTATCTGAAGACAAAGATAAGGTTTTGCATATGAATAAGATGATGCTCTCTTCCTTAAGATAGTGGGTATGTTATTGCAGAGCATGCAATTAAAATGCTATGTTAATAAACTCTTTAGTAGAAGAAACTTGCCAAGTTTAAATACACTTTTCAAAAGGTGAAGCCAACTGATTATTGACTGATTACTTTCCTCTTAAACTTCAGCTCTTTTCTCTAAATCTTACAGCCAGCTACTCTGTAAAAACAAAAGCAAAACAAACAAAAAACCCAACACCTCCCACTGAAACCCTGCAAAGCAAATAGACCAATCGACCACACCTCACCCAACCACCCCCCTCCAAAACACTCCTGAATATTACTGAGCTAGGTACGTCAAAATTTTTGCAAAAAGGCCCGTATTGCCCTTCGTATTCAGAATTGGACTTTCTGGGTCATTCTAGACAGTACATTGCTATTTACAGGTGTGCAAAAAAACTACTGTTCATATGTGTTCTTTCTTCATACCCAATTTTAAACAAATCCAAGTCAGTTTCAGAAGAAGGGACTGAGAAAAGTACATTTTTCCTTGCTTTAATCTGACTGAGGCATCACTGTACTTTGTTGTGCTGGTTGGTTGACGATAAGTTGGTGTATAGGAAATGCAATGTGAACTCTATGAAATGTCTGGGAGTTCATTGTCCTCATTAGAGGATTCCCACATGACGTGCTACCCTTACAATAGGAGAAATAATGGATATGTGGACAAAGTACACATTGCAAAGTTTAGCTTCTTTCCTTTTCCTGAATTGAACTGCTTTAGGCAGCCTGGCAAGTAGAGAAAAAAGTGTTACTGATTGTTAGATGTAAAGATGGTGGTATGCATAGGACTGCAGAAGAGAAGTGTGACATTTCAAGGTTTTAGATTAGGTCAAAAAAAACAAAGAGAAGTCATCATTGTTGAATTGGTAGATTTTCTTAGAGAATTCAGAAGACAATGTATTGCAGAATTAAAAAAAAAAAATCACTGCCAAATTAACTTATAAAAGATTGATGACTACAAATAATTCCACAGATAAAATAACTCTCCTTGTAAAGTAAGGAATGAAGAGGTATTGAAACCATTATTTGTTCTAAAGCATCAGCAAAAACTATAGAATGCAGCAAGCTTTTTTCTGTTAACACATCATTAGTTTGCAAAGGAATGATCATTTCCAGTATCAGGCTATCTGATCAATAATAATCTTATTTTTGTTTTTAAATGAACTTGTAAGATTTAACAATATTTTTAAATGTTGCTAATCAATATCATACTGCATCTTTGCAAATTGCTTTCAGTCACTTTTCCCCAAAATGACCGTGGACATATTCCATGCTTATTTTCAGACCTAAAAATTTTTCAAGTAGAAACGTAAAATAAAATTTAAAATAATACTGTTTACTTCTGATTTACCTGAACAAGCAGGACACAAAGGTGTTTTTCATGCCTCAAGGATTTTTTTTTTCATGGTATTTTGCACATGAGTCACTCAAACACTTATATCTTAGACCTTTGCTCTTATGTCTATGTACTAATACAGTACAAAGATGGCCTACATTTTTAAAACTAGCTTTAGAATAAAGTTAGAAGTTTGTTAAGGATATTTGAGCTGCCTAGTGGATTTTCTATGCAACTGTAACTAAATTATAATTTCAGTTATTATTTTAGTATATTTTGAGAATTTTACTCTATAATGTAAGACCCTAAAAAAATTACAAAAATAGTCTCATCGTTGCAGGCCATCACTGTTTCACCTAGTCAGTACTGTACAGAGCTGAGTTTGCTTCAATAAGAATTTGCATTTTTTGATAAATAATGTCTTTTAGAAAGAAAACAGTTTTTATCTGAATACATCAAGAAAGATTAAACATTTACAGTGGCAGCTTGTTTCATTGTCTGAACACTCCTGTCTTTTAAGCTTGTTTTTACTTTGAATTGTGCTATTTCATCTTGCAGGTAAATCTAGTTATTTTTCAGTGTAATTTGAAGAGTTCCGTCTTACCTGATATTTCCTCTATAACTAGGAACACACAGACTTTACTCATGACCCTTTCAACCCCAAAATAAGAAGGAGGTAGAACTCTTTTTTGTATCAGTATTTTAATGTAAATAAAATACACACATAAAAGATGTGTGAACACATCTAAAGTTTAAAGATAGACGTTAGAGGAGTCAGAATATTCACTGCTCAGCACCTTTTTCTTACAACAGCAATGCTAATAGCTTTTCAACTTGCTTTTCAGCAGCACAGCTGTTCTAAACATTTTTAAGCTAGGAGTAGTACAGCAGACTTGCGTAATGACACTGAAGATCAGTGGCACATCCTGTACCAAACATTTTAGGAATCTCATTAGACTTCAATTGAAGATGTAGCAGCTGCACACTGAAACAGATGTGCTTACTTGTCTGAATAGTCTTGATCTTCTCTAGTGGAAAAGCTGGGAAAGCAACAAAGCTGTTGTGCATGTGAACACATGAAATTTCTTGATAACCTTTGTCTTTTTTTGGTCATAGAGTTACAGGTACTGTGAAGAACCCTGTCCATAATGCACAGATCAAGACACTATGGAGGGAACTGTTAAGGAATAGAAAAATTGCTATCAATAATTTTACTTTTCTGAAGATAACCTATTGTGGAATAACTCCAGTGTTTGTGCTCTCAGTGATGAAGCATACTTCATCCATGAGAATGATTGTAATAAGGCAGAACACAGCCCTTGTCCCTGTTAACTGTTGTACTACATTCTGCTAATCCTCTATGTGCTGCAGCATGACCCTCAAAAAACCCTGATATAAAATTTAATAGTATATCTGTGTAGGATTTTTTCTCCTGATCTTAGTGTTGACAAAGACCATGTCATGAACATAATTTGGGGCTACAAGCAAGACTACTTTGTAGACCTCATGCGGTCTCATATAATGGTTCTCTTGTCCAGAATTCTGATGGTTGGTATGAGTGTGCAAGCCAGTTGCCCCTCAAAATTATCTGACAATGTATTTGCAGC